TTAGTGCAGTACAAATATAGTAGTATGTTCCTGTTATAGCAGAAATATTTGCTGGGAAGAAAAAAATGCTTAAAGTTGCAGTCCTCTATGCACCTCTCTGTCAGCAAGGCCCACTAAATAAAGCAGAGCCTCCTGAAAAATGTGTAAAATTAAGTAATAGCAAGTTCTATGGCTACTGAGTCCTGGGCTTTGTGAAATATAAACCAGAATGCCATTGCAGATGTTTGCCATTCTAAGTATAATGGTGTAAATGGCATAAATTGTGGTGACTTCCACTAATTAATGAATTGCTATTTGCATTCCTAGTCATGCTCCATGTTGTGCAACTGGCACACAACTAGGAATGCAAGTGGCAGATGTTTGCTGCTGCAATTTACACCATTAGCGTGACCATCTGAGGACTCCAGAGTGTCCATATTGAGACTTCCCACCTCTGAACAATAGACTGCTAATGAAACGTCTTGTTGCAAGTGATAGCTTTGATGTTGCCTTAGCCAAAGTTGGAACTTTGTTCTTCTTTCCCAAGTCCTACGGGCGAGATCTGGTGCTGAACCTGGGGCTACCTGTCATACAGAGGTGATCCAGTCTGTTGCATAGCTGCAGAATTTGGAGGAGGGACTAAGATACTTTCCTGAGCTGGGGTTTTCATTCTTTCTTTGAAGCTCCACAATCCCTTGATGTCAGCTTTGGTGAAACAAAGGTGATATAGTTATATATTTATGTACCTGGACCAGAATCTTACATCTGTCCAGTTCATGACATCACCTCACCAATTTGCAATTAGGGATGTACCATTTGGGTTTTTTTGGAGCCCAGCTCTTAGAACTGCCCAGGCAGAATCTTGGGAGTTCTAACCCATAGACCCACAACTGCAAATACCTTCAAACACTTATGTTTTGCTCACCTGGAGCAGCACCTGACTTGGAGGCTCTATGCTGTCTCAGGCCTACTTTGTGTTGTTAATGTACAAAAAATTGGAAGCTGCCATGGTGCTTTCTGGATCTTGTAATTCTTCAAGAGTTGACGTCTGCAAATAAATCCTGCTCTTTCTTTATTGGTACTCTCTTTTCTCTCCCCCTCCCCCTCTGTCTCTCCTTCCTCATCTGAGTAGCACTAAGTGGCTCTATTCCCACAATCCTCTGAGCAAAGATTAGTCTGAAACTCAGTTTGTGCGTTACCTGAGTGCTACCTGATAAACATTGCTCTGTAATCTCACATCAGTAATACACTTTGGACTGTTGGACCACCTCATTAATAGAGTAAACTTTGGACCACCTTTCTACTGTTTTCATTTGTGCCTGCAGGGATCACACTGGTGTTGAAAGAGACCTAGTGTTTAGATAACGTTTGAGTGGCTACCATTTTTATTTTTTATTTTTGGTAATATGTGAGCTGGGCAAGAGATAATTATTTGCCCAAGGCTGCCCAGTGAAAGTCATAACCAAATTCAAGTGAGTATCTAGATCAGCATTTTGTACCCTCCAGGTGGAGTCTGGACCGCAACATTTATCATCAGTGTTAATGGTCGCTCTGGCTAAAGTGGATGGGAATGGAGGTTTCATTTTGGGGAAGACTAATGTGGATCTGCCATTGGAGGAGGTGGGCTGCAGGAATATGCCAAGTAAAATTCGGCAATCTTCAAGGTGCCATAAGACTCTTAATCATTGTTGTTGCTGCAGCAGACTAACAGAGTTACCACCGTGGTGCTATTTAACCATCATTCTACAGGCCTTTTCTTCTGTGCGTTGCATTTGCTCTCATGTGTACTTGCTATGCAGCTGTCCAGGGCTTCAGTGCAGGTTGAAGAGCTCTGTGCATGTGGACTGTAGGGGATTAGTTAGTGTATCTGAATGCAACTATATTGCACAGATGTTCCTGTGAAAAACACTGTAGGGGATTAGTTAGTGTATCTGAATGTGACAATATTGCACAGATGTACCTGTGAAAAACAATATACCGTATTTTTCCGTGTATAAGATGCCCCCAAAATTAAGAAATCTAAGTGGGACTTAGCAAAAGGAAGGGGAAAGGGATCAAAGTAATCCCGCAACTGCATTTTGATCTCTTTCCCCCGTATACAGAAAAGGGATCAAAGCAATCCCGCAACTGCATTTTGATCTCTTACCCCCTTATACAGCCACGGGATTGCTTTGATTCTTTCCCCTCTCCTTTTGTTAAGCCCCATGGGACTTAGCAAGCTGAGGGGAAAGCAGTGATCAAAGCAATCCTGCAACGGCTTGATCCCTGCTTTCCTTTCGCTAAGGATTAGCAAGTGGAGGGGTAAGCAGGGATCAAAGCCCTGCAGGAACAATTTGATCCCTGTTTTCCCCTCCACTTGTTTTTGTACTCTCCTCAGCTTACTTCCGTGTAGAAGACGACCCTCAATTTTTAGTCTAAAAATTGTAGACAAAAGAATAGTCTTATGCACAGAAAAATATGGTACATTCTTCACATCCATTTCTTTTTATAATTTCCTTCTGTCTTTGGGGTACAGATAACCAGCGTCCCACAACACTGGTACCTCAGGATTCCTCATCACCACTTCACAACTGCTTCTTATTCATCAGCAGCATGACACAGTTGAGCTGACTGCTATGTTTCAGTGTATCAGAACTCAAATTAAGACTGATAGCTCAGTAGCGTTGTGTAAAAACTACCAAGTGTCTTAGTGGGCAATTCAAGTAAGAATTAATCACTGTTTACCATCTGTAGGATTTGTGTTGGGCTTTCTGTTAGGGTTTGCTGGCTGCAAAAAAGAGGAAGAAATGAAAATGTACAATCCATTGCTCAGCCCAGAATGAAAAATCATACATTGGCAGGAGAAACTGAAGGCATGTTACAAGCAGACATCCAAACATACCAGCACCCGGTTGCTGAACAAAGGAGAAAGCGTGCCTCTTTACTGTAAAGTAATTTGTAATGTATGCTATGGTTGTAATGCTTATGCCAGATCCCCTCATTAAAACTTGTTTCAGCTTATTAGTGCAGACAGCTAAACGACATTGCATTTATGAAGGTTATTTTAACAGAAAGCTTTGGCTACATGAAATTAATATAACGCCTCGGACAGATCAGGGAATAGGAATGCAGCTCATGCTGAATGGAGTTGTACTCCCTCTGAAAACACAAGTGTGCAGCTTGTGGATGCTGCCGGAGTCATCTGTGAGCCTGGATACTCAGTTTTTGGCTGTGGCCAGGGGGGCTTTTGCACAATTAAAACTAGTGCACCAGCTGTGCCCACTCCCGGAGGGGTCTGATCTGGCCATGATGACTATGCCGTAGTTACATCCTGGCTGGATTACTATAACATGTGCTATGTGGGACTGGCCTATGGAAAACTTCAGGAAACTTCAGTGGGTCCAAAACACAACAGCCAGATTGCAAACAGGGGCTGCTTCCAAGGATCACACAATTTCCATGTTACAGCAAGGGAGTGCCACTCCATCCGCTGCCAATCCATTTCTGGGCACAATTCAAGATGTTTGTTATAACCTATAAAGCCCTAAATGGCTTGGGTCCAAGCTAAATCAAAGATTTTATCTCTTTTTATGAGCCTGCTCCGGTGTTAAGATCATCGGGGTGGCGCTTCTCCCGGTCCCACCACCTTCACAGATGTGTTTGGTGGGGACGTGTGAGAGGGCCTTTTCTGTCACTCCTTCCAGAATGTTGAACGGCTTCCCACAGGATCTGGTCCCATCTTTGCTGTCCTTCTTACAAGAAGGTGAGAACCGTTCTCTTCAGGCAAGCTTTTCCTTAGTCACTTGCTGCCTGAGTGGGGATTTTTAATGGATTGTTATACCTTACTGCTGTGAATGGGGTTTGGTATTGCTCATGTTTTTTATACTGTGTTTGTTTTATCCTTTTTAGTATTTATATACTCACTGTTGTTAGCTTTAACGATGTAAGCCACCTTGGGTCCTTTTAAGGAGAAAGGTGGGGTAAAAACATTTTAAAGAAAGAAAGAAAGAAAGAAAGAGAAAGAAAGAAAGAAAGAAAAAGAAAGAAAGAAAGACACTTCTTGTGGTAGACATAAGAGGATATACAGTATTTATTTTAAGTAAGACCAAATCAACACTTCCCTTTCCACTACAAAATGTTGAGCTTAAATGCTGGGATCATTCATTTAAAGGTTAGAATAATTGACAGACTGTGTAAGAATGTGAGATGGAACCACTAGACCCCATATTTTCACCCAGTAAGAGGTACACGATAAGCATATTATCGGCTACATACGATCAGCCCATACATTTGAAGAATGTTTTTTGTTTTTCTTTAGTGTTTCCTTACGTATTTTAGAAGTGCAGTAGAGGCTTTAAAAAAATCTCTCAGAAGTGGGGTGGGGATTAGATGTTGGGCCATGATGAGGACTTAAAACCCTTCTTGAAGAATGGGAGTTCACAAACTGACACCAATTCCACATACCTTGTAGTGTTGATGTGCAAATAAATTTGGTGCATTTGTGGGAGGGGAGGAAAGAAACTCGGGCTCCTTGAGGAAGAGGGAGCATATGTACAAAATAAATAGTATGATCAGTAGTAGATTGTGGGAAACTTCTGCTTAAAGGTTGTAGCTGCATTTTGTTCCAGTGACGTGCAAACACTCCTGGCAGGATGCGGCAGCTGCCAGCAGGTGGGGTAGCCCCTTATTCTGCCCTTTTGCTTAGAGGTAGAGCATAAGATCAAAGGGTTATTTTAGCCAAACCTAGTTACGATTAGGTAACCAGTATCCTATCTGTTTCTCTCATAACTTACTATGTAATCATGCTAACTATATAAAAGAGCTCTCAGGGCATTGCCAGTAGGCTCCGCTGGCTCAGACTTTCGCTGTCAACTCCTTTGTTCTCTCTCTAAGGCAATTAGCCTTCCTTTGTTCCGTGATCACCCACAGTAGATGAGAAAAACTCTGGATTTTTTCTTTACAGATCTGTTTTCCTGTTTTGCCTCAGCCAAAACAAAGCTTTTTACCCATGATGTTGATGTTATAACTTTGTGTTGTTTCAGGACCTCAGGGCAGATACCCCCCTTGGCGACCTGTGGCATCATGATTTCTGGGGCAGCAAACTCAGTAGCAATACCAGCCACAAATCCTATCGGCCGCTTACTGTGTTAACTTTCAGGTGAGACATTATCAAGCTATGCTGAAGAGTGCCTTTGTCCTTGGAAAAAGCCTGCAGCCCAGAAGTAGAATTCATTCAGGTGCTGCTTTTAGTGTGGAGGGCTGTTTCATTCATGATGGTGTACATTAATCCTTTAGCCATGGAGAAAAATGTCTGTGTTCCCATACGACTATGCAGAACCTAGAGCGCAAGACGTGTGCCCCACAGTGAAGCACCCACTCATGGCTTTTCCTGCTGCATGGAACAGGCGTAGCATCATTCGGGCAAAGGAAGTAGGTATTGTTCCATTCCTGGTCATAAGGACTTGGAAGGCCATCAAGCTTACTTTCTCAGCTGGACCAGCTCCTGACCCAGTAGAGCCTAAGAAAGGGTTGGGTGGTGCAACTGCCAGTCTCTTATTCATTGAAGCACTCAAGAACTTGCTCAGTTAAGAGACTGGACTATTGGCTGCTGCTTGGCTCCTAGCCTGTTGCTGTGTATACTATAAGCACACGGGGGGCAAGGAAGTTGTCAGTTGCTGACATGAATGTAGCCAGCAATAAGCCCATGATGAGTGGGCAAAAGAGTAGGTGCAATGGGATGGGATGTGGTGAGGCAGCTGGTAGCGCCAGTTCCCTTCAAGAAGTGCTATGACTGGTAGCAAAAAGAGAAGTCTGCTTAAACTTAAGCTTACAAGAAGATCCCTGATGGATCAGTACAAATGCTTATCAATTCCAACATTCTGTTCATGCAGTGACTTACTGGATGTCTGTGGGAAGTCCACAGGGAACTCTTGTGGGGCCTTCTGTATTACAACGCACTGGGTCACAGTCCTTCCTCATCGGCTTAGTGGAGAGTGTGCATCCTTTCCCTTTGTCCATGGCTGCTGAATGTGATGACACCGTAATACTATGGGAAGGGTACTCTTCTTACTGTTCACATGTCACTAAAAGGGCTTCTGGAGCAAAGACTCTAAATGTCCTGGCTCAGGTTTAGTTCCTCTCTGGGTTAACAGACAGGATGAGAAGAGGATGAGCAAGAGGGTGAAAATGAGAAAAGAGATACAGTGGTGCCTCGCTTTACGATTGCCCCGCATTACAATGAATCTGCTTACCGACGATCTTTTTCTGATCGCAAAATGATGGTATAAATGGGGGAATTTCGCTTTGTGATGATCGGTTCCCTACTCCGGGAACCAATTCTTCGCAAAACGACATTTTTTTAACAGCCGATCGGCAATTTCAGAATGGCCACCGGGTAATTAAAATGGCTCCCCGCTGTGTTTAGGGACTGATTCCTCGCTATACAAGCAGCGAAAATGGCTGCCATATGGAGGATCTTCACTGGACGGTGAGTTTTTATCCAATTGGAATGCATTGATCAGGGTTCAATGCATTTCAATGGGGTTTTTAATTTCACTTTATGATGTTTTCGCTTAACAGCGATTTTCCTGGAATGGATTATCGTCGTTAAGCGAGGCACCACTGTAGAATGGAAAGGGTAAGAAAGGAGGACTAGAGGCAAAACACAGCACATTTCGGATGAGAAGGGGCGTGCTTCCTCCTCTCTTCAGCAACCAGGTTAAGGTACTAATGTGTTTGGATATCTGCTCATAACATTCCTTCAGTTTCTGCTGCATATGTATAAAAAGAGGAGGGCAGGTTAACTTTAGCAGAGTGCCATCTATAATAGTTGGCTGGATGGTTTACATATCTGGCTGTGATGCCAGAGGTTGAGAGTTTGATTCTCAACCTTATGGCACCAGGAAGAAGAGCAAGCCTGTGTATTCTCTACCTGGAAAACCCTGAAAAGGGTTGCCATAAGTGAGAATTGACAGCACATTAAAAACAACAACACTGTAATAATTTGAAAAAGATTTCAAATTTTTAAAGTGTTATCTGATTTCTAACTTCAGTGTTTTTCTATTGTTGCTCTTGTTTCTTTTTACAGGATTAATTACCTTTTAGCTGAAGGCTTTCACCCATTGGGCTTTCATGTCATCAACATAATACTCCATTGTATTATCTCCGTCTTAATTGTGGACGTCTTTTCAATATTATTGGGTGGGCTGCAATATACTAACAAAGGCAGACGGCTAAACCTTGTCCCTAAATCATCATTGCTGGCTGCTTTGCTATTTGCTGTACATCCCGTGCACACTGAATGTGTAAGTACAAAATGACACAATGAAAAAGTAGTGTAAAATGCCAGTGTTCCATTGACACACCCTACTTTTCCCTATCCCTGCAAGCGTGTATTGTGTATGCCATTCTCCAAGTTTGTTTGTGTGCGTGTGTACATGCCTGTGTATAAACTGCAATTGGTGTTCTTGCATAATGTCTCTTCACATCTGCTTTGTATTGATATGGCTGTCTTCATGCAGATGATTAATGCTTCAGAGAGAGAAACTTGGGAAAGACATGAGTAGTCTTATCAGAATGATTTATTAAAAATATTTCTTAGTTGTTCCAGTCAGCATAAATATTACTAGGGGAAAGTAATGAGTTGTGGGCTGAGCTGAGATATGTTAAGGCCATGAATGAAACATTAGGTTGTATCCGCTGATGGCTTTGCATGAGCGAGTAGTGCTGCTCAGGTAAGCCAGGGCACACCATTTTTTCCTGACATTGTCTACCCCTTCAGCCATCCCTCAGAATGTGGGTCTGAGGCAGCATGGAAGATACAGACTACACACGGTTGCAGTGCTTAAGGAGAGGTGGTAAAGATTGGGTTTCCCACCAGATGTGAATTGAGGCACTTTCCACTAGTGCAGAGCCCTCATTGGGTGCTGCCCAATATCTTGTAGGCAGGGTGAATAAAAATCAGTGTTTTTTTAAAAAAATAATTGATTTAAATTACGATTTTAATCATCATCATCATCATCTTTTTGATTTAAATGATCAAAAAATCCATTTTAAAAAATTGAAATCGCAGTTTAAACCAATGATTTAAATCAAGGCCACCCTGCTTGTAGCTCGTGAGTTCATGAGAACAACCATGCTGGATCAGGCCAAAAGCCTGTCTGGCCCAGCATTCTGTGTGCATGGTAGCCAGCCAGTTACCAAGGTGAAGCTGGTCAGCAGGACATGAGTGCAATGGCACCCACTGTCTTACCTCTCCCAGCAACTGATACACAGCCATATGCTACATCTGGTACTGAAGGAGATACACAGCCATCCCTGCTGGTAAGCACTCACAATCCTGCCTCCATTAATTGATCGAACTTCCTTTAGAGCTGTCCAGAATAGTAGCCATCGCTATGTCTTGTGGCAGTGAATTCCACAGTTAAACTGTACCGTGTGTAACGTTCTTCCATTGATCAGCCCTGAATTTTTCAGCTTTAGCGGATGATCCCAGCTTCCAGTATTCAAAAAGAAAAAACTCCTTGAAATCTGCATTCATGACAGTTTCCTACCAGATCAGTACCTACTTAACTTCAGAAAGACTTAGAGCATCTAGCATCCTTAGGCTGTTTATTAAATCTCTTCTGAACCTGTTGTTTTCAAACCTATACAAGTCTCCATATCATCTCTTCTTCCTCCTGGGCTCCTAGCAAATGAAATAGTGGCTTTATCTTTTGAATTCTTAATTACACACAATTATTTATTGGGAACAAATGTTCTACTTATCTAATAAAAGCTGATGAATACTTCACATCTCATGTGCTTACTGGCAACTATCATGGTACAACGATATCAGAGTTCCTTTAAAATACAAAACTTTTTCAGTAAAGAAAGACTCAAGTTGCTGAAAACAATTTTGTTTTCGTTAAGCGAGAACCTGTATTTTGAGTATAGATAGCGTGTTTTGACAAATGGTTATTAGAAAGAATCTGTCTCCAGCGGGTGGCAATTCTGGTTTCTTTTGTGCTAGTAAATATAAACCCAAGGAATGCAAGACTTTCATATGTAAAATGTCTGTTGATTTACGTCCTTGTATGTTCAAATAGTTGTTGTGTGTAGCGTAGAAATGTGCCTTGCATTTTAATTTTTCTAAGCGCCGCTTCTTCAATTGGTTCAAAAGATACTGTATATGATTAGGGCTGGAGAAACATGAATTCGGAGTACCCACCCTAGAGTCCACAAAAGTCCTACATCTGCATTGATCATTTGCAGGATACAGTGGTGCCTCGCTAGCCAATTACCTCATGGGACGAAAACCCCGCAAGACTATGGTGCGTCGAAAGACTTTTTTTCTATGACCGTGCTTCATAAGACTTTTTTTTCTTTAGGAGACTGATGCTTCGCAAGACTTTTTTTTGAGACCGATGCTTCGCAAGACTTTTTTTTTTTTGGAGACCGATGCATACGGAACCCTGCAAGATGATTTTTTTTCACAAGACGACGATTTTCACGGAACGAATTAAAATCGTCATGTGAGGCACCACTGTATGTGCTTGTAGCTCAGGGAGCAGGTCCCTACCTTTGTCATATCCTTGGGCTAGCTATTCTCCTAACTCCAGTGATGAACTCAGACAGCAGAATAAGAAATGCAGTTTGTATGCCTTGGAGGCTCCATGTAAGCCAGATACCTACTATATTGTGCAGCTGCTCATCAGTAGAACTTCCTTCTCTGTCTACAGCAGAAGTCTGCTGGTTAAGCCTAGCCCATTAACCTGCTCCTGAAGTAATACATGAATATTGCTTACACCCCGGTGGCAGATGCACAGGGCTTGAGCGATGGGCCAAGGATTTATTGGATTTCTCATGGATTTCTTGTTCATTGCAAAAGTTGTTGCTTTGGGAAGCTTAAAAATGCTAGTGAAATAACCTTATTTTTACACTTTGGCACATTTTCCCATACTTTCTTTACTGGGTTTGTATCCCAAGAGCTCCCTTTTTTTACTACATTGTCAGGTGTCTGAAAGATCATTTCAGGGGACTGGGGAGAGTGCAAGGCCCCTCACTCCCAAGGAGTAGGGGAGTTGATTTGAGTTCTGAGGTGGACTGCTGTAGGGTTTTAAGGCTGCATTGTCTCCAAGCCCAGTTCTTTGTAGTGTCTTTCCCTGGTTCCTTTGAAGAGAAAGTGCAATGTCTTCTCTTCTCATATGACTGTTGACGAGATATTTGTGGTTCTTGTGTTGCTTAAACGTAATCGGACAACTCAGTTAATGCAGACAGTGTCCTTGCTTGTGTCTAATCTCTTTGTGCTCTTCTCTCCTGAGAAGGTCAAGAGTGCAAGTAGAATGACGTGTCCCACTTTATTGTCAAAACCAGTCGAGTGGGGAGGAGGAGCGTTTCTTCCATTTAAGCTTCGATAGCTGGACCTTTCTTAACAATTCGGCTCAGGGCTTTGTTAGTGACAAAGAAGCCCTGCTCAGCTACAGAGAGCTGTGCATCCTTAATGCTTCTTTTGGCCATGGGTGCAACTCCACTAAAACTGGGAACTTCTCAACTGTAGATTTCAGAGAGAGGGGGGCAAAACATTTGATTATATTGAAAGGGACTTTACAATGCTTCAGTGTGGCTAGATTGTGTTCCTAGATCCTGTAAGCAGCCCCTTATCTCCAAAGAGATTTACGGGGGTGCCGGAGACTGGGATGAGTCCGAAATCCAGACAAACCTCTGACTGCTGAGCAGAGCTTGAGAGTTGTTATCAAGTTTTGTGGCAGAATTATTTTGACTACGAAAGTCTCTGCTCTCTACTCATCTTAGCAACGAGATAATCAGAGAGCGAAGCTTCTCTGAAACAGCATGAAAAACTTTCCTACTACAGAGCAGACTTTAAATCAAGATGGATGCTATTGGGACAATCTTAGAACTACATATCCCATTCTAATACACATAAAAACACAAATCATCACAGATCCCAAAACCCCTAGTGACATAAATAATTAAAAAATTCTTAGCTTTCCATGCTAAGAAATTTCCCCCCTTCTGTAACTTTTAATTTCCTCTTCTTTTTCTTCTGAAGATTGCAGGAATTGTTGGCAGAGCGGACTTGTTGTGTGCCCTCTTCTTTTTGCTGTCATTCCTTGGCTACTGCAGAGCCTTTAGAGAAAGTAAGTATTCTCCCATTACCATTTGTAAGCGTATCTGTCCATTTGAGCATAGAAACACAAAGACGATCAAATGTATTGTTACCAAGTGTATGTAGCATCCTCATTTCTGAAGGCACAGGCCTGTTGGTATCTAACACATATTTATCTGCACCTTAAGATGAGGGTCTTCTCCTTGGGTTTCTGATGCAAAATTTGTCTTAAATTAACTTGTTTTATATTGAGAAATACTTGAATTCTTACTGAATCAAAGCATGGAAATGACTTACATCGCAGGACAGCCTTTGCAGAGCAAAGCTGCAGAAAATGTTCAGCCTTGCCTGCCACACGCGTAGACCTCCATCCCACAGTGCCTTCGTTGGAACACGTCCAGTTCGCGTGGCTTTGCAGTTTGCCTTTAGTCTCATTCTATAGCGTAGATTTCCTTTATACAAAATGGCAGAAACACTTGTGGGCATTTAGCTTGATTCAAATGGGAATCAAATGCTTGCTGCAAATCTTTGGCACCCATTAAACTTCTGACCATCTGGTGGAGGCGGCAGAGTGCCTTCCCACAATATGGTGCGCCAGTTTAAAGTAGGTTCAGGTGCCAACCCCGGAATAAGCTCCATTCTCCAACAGGAGATCGTGGTGGGAGAAGCAGCGTGGTTGGTAGGGAGTATTCTTTGTGAAACTGATTAACACACTTGGCACGTGTGTATCTTTGGAGCAATAATTGGCATTTGTTTGTTGCTTTACATATTCAGTGCTAATTGATAATTTGGCAGAACTAGAATGTATATTCTGTTCTTGTAACTATGCATGAGGCCCAGCCTCGGGACAACAGTGAAGATGATGTGCGGAGATCTTTTGAAAGAAATACCAAAGCCTCTGTTTCCAAACCTTGAATGGAAGTGAATCAGTCTTCTCGAGTGCACCCATTTAGCATGGATCCAGGCTTTACCTTCCTTCCAGCAAAGAGAAGCAAGCACTGGCCTCAGTTTCTTTGTTCAGAAAGAAATGCAGTTACTCGTTGTGTTTAATTCTTTCAAGTGCAACTTTCTCGAATGAGTCGAAAGGTTTCTGATAATGAAATGGGCTAGACATTATGTCTGCCTTGGTTCAGGTGTCGGCATTCTTGACGAAACTTCCTCTTACACCAGTCTCTGATTAAGGAACTCAGATAGTGACTATGTTTCACATGAGGCAAAACAAAAATGTAAAGCTGAGGTATGTTGTAGAGGATAGTGCCGTCAGACAAGGGTTCAGGAGACCTGGCTTCAAATCCCAATTGGGAATAAAACTCACTTGAGGTGGCAATGGTAAGCTATTCATTAAGCATCTCACGTACTTCAAAAATTTTATTAGAGTTTCCATACATTCATAATGATTTCATGGTACATAACAACAGATAGGCATAAATGCTGAGAAACAGAGGATTATATTTGGTTACTTTTGTTCCTGTCATACCAGTAATTCATTGTGTTCTGTTGTGCTGTGGTTATTAACAGGCGAGAAAAATATTTCAGATATTTCCATTTATGTAGAAGTATTTTTAAAAATACACAAGATAAAAATGAATAAACATTTCCCTTGCCACTTAGAACAGACAAGAAAGTGACATACAGTTTGAATGTTTTCTATCAGAATACCTAATGTTTTCTGTCAGAATACTGCCTTAGTTTCACGAACACATGTCAGTTTCTTTTCTTTATTTCCAGTTTTATATTTTGCTAGGTAAAGAAGGCCCCCATTTTTCTACGGCCTGGGTCTTATTAAGTGTTCTCCTGGGTGCTGCGGCCATGCTGTGTAAAGAACAAGGGATTACAATACTGGTAAAATTCCTCTGCATTTCTTACCCGCTTATAATTAATATTGTCACTCTATGAAACTGTCTGTAAATAATAACCTTTCTTGTGTTAAATATAAAATATACAGTTGGATTCAGCTTGCCTGGTTTATATTTTCGAGCCTGCAGTCCCGTTTACACTCACTGAGAAGTAAGCCCCTCAAAACCGAGTGGGTCATATTTCTCAGAAAAAGTGCAAGGAATTTTAAAAATCTAGAATAAAGCCTAGAAACTTATTTAAATAAATTGAGCTCTGTACATTTCATAAATGTGCTAAATCATCCAATTTTAGTAATGTGCCTTCAGTTGCTAAATCAGTAAAACTAGTTTAGATTTGAAACAGAATATATGGCATATCTTTTGTCGCTGTGTGAATTCATCATTGTATGAAGCCATTGTTGTGCGAGGCACCACTGTATATGGCGTATCTTTTTACTTCTGCCTTCTAATTTCCATCTTTCTTTGGTGCAGGGAGCTTTTTCTCCCTCAGAATTATTACTAAATGTTTTACATTTCTCATTATAAATAAATCAATATTGGAAAGAGATTGTTCTCCCTTTGGCATACTTACCCTCATTTAAACACCTATCTTTCTAGGGCTTAAATGCTCTTTTTGATGCAGTGGTGATTAACAAGCTCAATATATTAGACATTCTTCTGAAGATACTTCATAAAGACAAGTCACTAGAGGTGAGTATATAATGTTAAATTTAAAGAGATGCTGTTTAGCGCTGAAGAGATGTTGCTTAGTGTTCTAATCTTTACAGCAGAGTGAAATTTACACCATACTTTAATTCAGCAGTTGAGAATGTTAGAAGGGAAATACAGTGATCAAAATATTTCCTCCAATAAGTTTTACTAGGCAAGCCCTCTGAACTACACCTCTGGATGATTTTCTGTATATAAGAGTGAATGCTATTAACTACTGTAATTGTGCATGTTGAATGGCCTCTCATCAGAATAACATAGTCATATGCTTTCCAAATTTTCTTTCCAGATAGGGCAGCCTATGAATCTCTGTATTTTATTTTTTTCCTGCAAATAAAACTTTTTGGTGCTGGTGGTGGGACAGTAACGAATGTGTTACATATTTTCTTGCATTTCTCTGGAGGTGGGTAAATAGATAATGTCAATTTTGCACTTAGTATGTAGACTGATGTCCCTTTTTACATGCATGTGCGTGTGTTTTGTGATGCTCATCTATCGCAACCCTGGCTTTCCAACCATCTAAAGGTCCTTTACTTACTTTCCTTGCTACCTATACCATAAAGCATTTTGCCACACACCAGGCCATGTAAGTGATATCCTATTACACACTTTGCCACAGCCTGGCCTTAGTCCCTCCTTTTTCGGTTTCCATGCCTCTGTTATTTACTGCTCACTGACCTGCTTATTATTTTACTCTGTTTGGCCAACTTGACTCTGTTCACTAGCATTTGTCCTTCCCTCCTACTTCTCTTTTCAAGCAAGAATATGTAGGTTTTTTTGCCCACTCTCATTAGCTTTCTCTTGTTTTATAAATATTCCTTTCTTGTTTGTAAGTCGAGACCCCACTGTACTTCTCTTTTCAAGTAGGAATATGTAGTTCTTGTTGTCCACTCTCATTAGCTTTCTCTTGTTTTATCAGTCTTCCTTTCTCATCAGACTTTCAGTAACCTTGCCTCTGGGCTACATGGAAACTCTTCCCACATATATCCCTAGACCTCAACTCGCTTTGTAGGTTTTTCTGGGCTTTCTCTTCCAGTTAGAAATTTGAATTTCCTGCCTTTTTTCCCTGCCCTTTTCTGTTCGTACGTGGAAGCTCCGGTCGCTAGAAGCAAATTTTTGCGGCCGGAGCTGATTGTAACTCGAAATGGTCGTAAGTAGGGACGTTCGTAAGTCGAGGCACCACTGTACATGACAGAGTACATTATCTCCTTCACTAAGTGGGTGAATCAGGCTAGGTTTTGAAACCTAAAATGCCTATTATTATCCAAAAGGTATATACAAAATTTTATAATGATATCCTATACATTTCACAAACAAGCAGAAACAATGGCCATCCATATTAAGCTAAAGGATTTGTTTTGCCCAGCCCTTTGGAACAAGTTCTGTTTGTGTCAGTGAAACTTACGGCCAAGCTAATGTGGTTAGACTCAAGATGTAAAACTGAGGATAGAAAATAAATACCAATCCAGCAATTTCATTTGTTGGATTTGGTTGTTACCTGGTTTGCTATTACATATGAGAGGGGGTTTATTGTGCACACCCCTGATTATTGAAGGGTTTTAAACAAATAGACAGGACATGCAATGTGCATATAAAGGTTTATATGGGCTTCTCAACTAGGTATACATTTACAGTTTTATACTCTGGTATTATTTGCCACCAGGATTGTGGGTTTGAACTGAGGACTATGTTCCTTAACATTAAAATCAAATGTTATGTCCTCTTTCTGAGTCCCCCCTGCCCCAGTTCATTTGCAGTATTCAGACATATCATCTGTGTTCTGTGCAGATGGAGTGCAGAGCGGCAGTTTTGGGGAGAAAAATGTTGGCCAGAATTGAATTGCTAATTTTATACTTAGTAAGAGAAATAATATAAGTGTTGAGGGACAACTTGCCACCCATTAACAAGGTGCTGGTTGCATTCCTGGGCGTGCACCAAATGGTGTGGTTCAGCAGGAGTCCAAGAATTCAGCCAGCACCTTGCTAATTGGCTTAACAATCAGCTGCCAAGACCCTACATGATTTCTCTTCAACAAGTATAAATTGGCAATAGATTTCTTACCACTGGTTCTTTTTCAAAGGCAAAATGAATAAACTGTACTGTCACTTTTACTACAAGACCACTATCAGGGCCTCCCTGTGCTCCCTTGAGCTACCATTCTGTTTGTTCTTTCAGAGTCCTGCCAAGGCTCTGTAGAACCCAGTTTTTTGTTTGTTTTGAATAAAAATAATTTTCGGCCTGACTTTGGTAGTTCCAACTAGAGAAGACTCAATGATTCAGTAGGATTTGCCTAATGGTGACTCACCGTTTGATGTCGTGTCATCTCATAGCCACCGCCTGGTCACCACAGCAACCTTTCATTATCTCTCCCTTCACCTCAGAGTTTAGCGATCCAGGCTAAAGGAATTTCTGACCTATTTTCCCACCAGAAACAGGCAGACATACTGCTTATGAAACCAACCAAAAATTCATCTGAGTCCATTCAAGGCCTTCATCGCCATACAGTATACTTGATCATGAGACCTGGGTAACAGATGTCAGGTATCAGAAATGTTATAACATGTTAGCTGTTAATACTATAAGATACTAAACACTCTCACATGTTATCTGTCAAGTGCAGCAAAATCCTAAATGCCATTCCATGTTCCTGCTGAATATTCAGTTATGTTGCATTGTAAGTATCAAATATGTCAAATATCCACTGTCGTGATAATAACTTTATAAGGTAAGGATAGTTAAAACAATTAAACATATAAGAGTGGGTAGACCCAAACCTCCTTTGTACTTTAGAGTTATTGGCTAAGCAGAATGTTGGCAAAAGAATAAAAATGTAAAACTCATTCTCAGGACGTTTAATTATTTATCTTCATTTCTTTATTACATAAATTAATATCCACATTCCTCGTGAGGAGCTCAAGGCAGCATACCTGGATTCGAAGCCAGGTTTTTATGATCTACGGAGTCTTTATGAGCAGCATAGTTTCAGCATACCTCTCCTGATCTGAATGGGGTCTCTGTGTTGTTAACAATAGAATGGCTTCTTTCGTCACTAGGCTCCCCTCTGGTACAATCCACCCACCAGACTTGTTTTCAGGATATCCATTTTTGTCATATCCCTCACCTCATATTGAATAAGAAGCTGACAGAACTGGAGGAGTATTAGTATTCGGATCTCCTCCTCCCCCGCCACCATTTTTCATCAGTTCATTTAGCCATAAAGGGGAAAAGATCACTAGAATTTGATATGACATTTGATTTCCCCTCTTTCTAGAGCCTGGTGGTGTTTAGAAAAGGACTCCTTTTCAGGATGACTCTTTTGTTCTCTGGAGGAGCCACCATGCTGTATGTGCGCTGGCAAATTATGGGCACGGGGCCCCCAGCATTTACGGAGGTGGATAACCCAGCTTCATTTGCAGAGAGTCCGTTTGTGAGGGTAAGTTGGGACGGTCTTGCTTTTTGATTGGTTACAGAAAGAGGGAGGGAGCCCATTGGTCAGTGGAAGAACAAATGAGTCAAGTCCCAACTCAGACCCTTCTTAGTTTGGAGAGCTGGTGACAGTAAAGCTACTTGTTCTGACCACTGTTGCATTTCCAAGTTCTCCAAGAGACTGTAGCTGAGGGAGGCAAGGAACAATGTGAGGCCGGCCATTCCACCGTTCCAGCTGAAAATCTGGATTTCTTGCTATTCCCCTCTTTCCTCCCATCTCTTTTTCCTTTTGTGTTGTATCTTTTTACAGGCATGTAGGCATGCAAGCAAGGACTGTTCCCAGAGCCTTTTTAGCCAAGGAAAAGATTAAAACGCTATAAATAAACAAGTAGAAGTCCAAGAATTTTGAATGTAAGCCATCCCATGGCCCATTGTAAGCAATCCCCAGATGCCACCCTTGTAGGAAAAAAAAATCTTGCCCCGGTTAGCCAAATTTGTCCAAGAGGATCACAGAATGATGTTACATGTGATTACAGTGAGATTACGTGAATTAACCTACCTTTGTTCAGATTGTAGTGCCTTAGCTAACACTTTGATTAAGAACAGGCTTTTTAAAGAGAGGATTTAAATACAACTCAATATCTGAAAAAGGAGCCGTAAAACTTTATCTGTTCCCCCTTTCCCCTTTCTCCCAACAGTCTCTTTTAAGTTTAGTATGAAGTAAATGTTTGTTTTTTCTTTGACTGACAGGCTATAAACTATAATTACTACTATTCGTTGAATGCATGGTTGCTGCTGTGTCCCTGGTGGCTGTGTTTTGATTGGTCAATGGGCTGCGTGCCCCTTATTAAATCAGTCAGTGACTGGAGAATAATTGCAGTAGGAGTTCTTTGGTTCTGCCTAATTGCTCTGACGTGCCAGGCCTTGTGCTCTGAAGACAGCCAGAGGAGAAGGTAAAAGGCATTGTTGAATTTTAAATCTCTCATTGGCTTGTAGACGTTATTGTCTTACATCTAAAGCTGTTCTTTTTTTATTTTTATTTCATTTAATGAATCAGTTGAATCAATACACCTTAGCAAATACGGTTCAAATAAATATTTATAGCTTGGACTTGCATTCCCCTTCCCAATTTGGCTCCATCATTTTTGCACCACCCGTGGGGGGAGGGCAAACTTGTAAAAAGGGAGGTATGGATGGCTGCTTTATCTTCCCCTGAAATGGCATTTTGAGATCCTTAACTCGGTAGGGAGTGAAAAGTAATTTGTGGCCAGAATGAAGTGTAATTGATGTATGTTGTTTTCCTCACCTCTTTTCAACAAGGTTTCTTTTTGTAGGATACCGTGTTTCCCTGAAAATAAGTCAGGGTTTTATATTAATTTTTGCTCCAAAAATGCATTAGGGCTTATTTTCAGAGGATGTTTTATTTTTTTCATGTACAACAATCTACATTTATTCAAATACAGTCATGTCATCTTCTGGTTGCTGCATGGTGGTGGAGGGCAGGGTTTCAATTAACTAGGGCTTATTTTTGGGCTAGGGCTTACATTACAAGCATCCTGAAAAATCATACTAGGGCTTATTTTCAGGTTAGGTCTTATTTTCGGGGAAACAGGGTGGTGGTGGTGGTGGTGGTGGTGGTAGTAGTAGTAGTAGTAGTTAATAACAACAACAACAATAATAACAATAATAGGAACTTAAAATAACTTTTTTAAAAAATAGAAAAAGTATTGGCTCTGATTGCTGATTTAGAAAATAAAATTCTGTTCCAGAATGATTGCTCTCTCTCTCTCTCTCTTAAATCACTAAACAAATACAGATAAAATAATGGAGAAAATCCTTGCAGGAAATGAAAGTTACTTTTAAGATCATGAGTGGTATAGCAATGTCAGAGAAGATATTGCAGGTAGATTTCTCATGGATTATGTAATTTTCATATTGTGTGTAATTCTTTTCATTCGCAAAATGATAATTGTTCAGACTGGGCATTTCCTTTTCCTTTCCAGGCATAGTATTTTAATTTCATTCAAAGTTTTCTCTTAAAAAAATTCAAACATATCACTTAATGATCTTTCTGAGAGTTCATTAAGAAAATCCTTGCAGGAAATGAAAGTTACTTTTAAGATCATGAGTGGTATAGCAATGTCAGAGAAGATATTGCAGGTAGATTTCTCATGGATTATGTAATTTTCATATTGTGTGTAATTCTTTTCATTCGCAAAATGATAATTGTTCAGACTGGGCATTTCCTTTTCCTTTCCAGGCATAGTATTTTAATTTCATTCAAAGTTTTCTCTTTAAAAAATTCAAACATATCAATGATCTTTCTGAGAGTTCATTGCACTTCTGTTGCATTAGTTCAAGGCCTTGCAGCAGTATAGGGAGGTGTTAATTCAGGTAAAAGAAGGGGCTAAAAAATGATGGTTTGTCTAGTACCCTGTGAGATTTGAATACGTAGCTTTGTGATTGACACACGTATATGGCAGCTCTCCATTTTTTGCTTGTGTACCACCACTTGGGTTTTAAGATAAGCTGAGACTTAAGGAAATTCATGGCAGCACAGGTACAGTGGGGTCTTGACTTGAGAACTTAATCCGTATTGGAAGGCAGTTCTCAAGTCAAAAAGTCTGTAGGTCACCATTGACCTTGAGATTTGAATACGTAGCTTTGTGATTGACACACGTATATGGCAGCTCTCCATTTTTTGCTTGTGTACCACCACTTGGGTTTTAAGATGAGCTGAGACTTAAGGAAATTCGTGGCAGCACAGATTCCTCTTCTCTTTCCTCTATACAGCTGCCTGCAGTCTCAAAAATTATTTTCAGGAGATGTCGAGGACCTTTCCTGAACAATGTGTGATAATGTTGGAGAGGAGGCTGCTGGGTTTAGGAGAAAACATGAAACCTTCCTGTCACAGATTTCCTTCAGTTTACCGCTTATTATCTTAGGATCCAAGCTCCTGTTGTTTTTGCGAGGGCCCTGATGTTACAGGGAAGTGGGTGGGCAGGTTGCTATAGGACAGAAAAGACAGGAAGCTTTTCTTCTGTGAACGTATGTTAGCTTACTTGTGTTCTGAGCTCATGCATACGGTTACAGTTCACGTTTTGTGCTAGAAGTTTATACTTTGTTTCAAGGTATCTCAGATTCCCCACCTCCTGCATCTGGATTTTGCTTGGCAGACATTTAAAATGTTCTGCAGTCTGATGTTAATATTTTGGCAATAAGCTGTCAAAACAATTTCTTACATGCGCACATTCCTGGATGATATCTGTAACAAGCTTCTAAGGGTAGCCTGCAGCAATAAAATGAATATGTGGCAGGACAGAAGGATCTTGCTGTTAATCTTTTCAGGCACATCTGTATGGTATGCATGATGTGTATCAAGCCATAGGGCAGAAAAACGGTCCATTAATACCAGTAGCAAACCATCAGTTAGAACAGTGGTTCCCAGTTTATTTTCAAATCATGACCCCCTTTTTATAGTAGCCAAGTAACCTGCAACCTCCCACCACGTCCCATGTTTGCATAAAAAGACATTTTTAATGGGGTAAAGTCATCCCTTCTCAGGAAATAGAGGCTTCTTTTCCCCCCAAAAGGCCTGTTTCTCATACATACACAAACGTACTAACTTTAATATCCAGCTCAGAAAGGTCAAGGAAGAAATTATCAAACAAGGGCGATAACACATATAATGTGACCTGTGACTTCCCATAAAACACTTTGCAACGTCCTTAGTGGTCAAAATATCTAGGCTGGAAAACACTGAGTTAGAAATTATTGGTGAGATTTAGAATCTGAATGTTTCATGCCCAGAGACATTTGTTATTGACTATATCAAATATGAGAGGGATGTGGTGGCGCTGCGGGTTAAACTGCAGAAGCCTCTGTGCTGCAAGGTCAGAAGACCAGCAGTCGTAAGATTGAATCCAGGCGACGGAGGGAGCTCCTCGCCAACCTAGCAGTTTGAAAGCATGTAAAAATAAGGGCAGATAAATAGGTACAACCACGGTGGGAAGGTAACGGCGTTCCATGTCTAGTCGCGCTGGCCAAGTGACCATGGAAACGCTACGGACAAACTCTGGCTCTACAGCTTGGAGATGGGGATGAGCACCGTGCCCTAGAGTCGAACACGACTGGACTAAATGTTAAGGGGAGCCTTTACCTTTGCCTATATCAAATATTCCCAGCCCAAAGGGAGATATAACAGGTAGTTCCTTTGCGTTCAACATTTTCCACACATAGTAAGACTAACTAGACTGAATCAGTTATTTCAACCATACGCCATTGAAACTACCACATTATGTACATCTAAACTGGTCATTTACATACTTCCTTTTGAATTGTTTGGGGGGTTCTTTCCGTGTGTGTGTGTGTGTGTGTGTGTGTGTGCGTGCGTGTGGACACAGAACTTCTGTGAGATGAATTCCTTTCCTCACGCCATCGGATGTTCACAGTCTTGCAAGGAAGTGATATGACAATTGATTCCTACAGTGGCATTGTCAGTCCTGGAAGATGTTCTGGCAGGCACAGAGATGCAAAGTCACCTAGGCATGGACTTGTCTGATGTGACCCTGGGCATTGTTAGAAGGGTGCGACAGATCCCATGTTTGAGGTCTACCCTTTACATGGGCTGTTTGAAATTCCAGCCTGCATTAGGCTATTAAACTTGTAGCGTAAAAGCATTGCAGTAAAAAGTGAGCTGCTTGACCTGTAACACATTTTTCTACTTTCCAGAATCCTTACGTCAGGATTGGGATTTCTTATTATTCCTTTTCTTCCTGCAAGCAACCTCTTCTTTCGAGTTGGATTTGTCATTGCAGAAAGGGTGACCTACCTTCCCAGCATTGGCTATTGCCTGTTGATTACATATGGATTTAGTCTGTTGAGCAAACAAGTTAAGAAGAAGGTATGGACAAGATGTTCAGCGACTTTAACAACAGGGATCTATGCAAAAGGGATTTTAAATGGTCATCTTTAACATGTGTCTCCTTTCTCCCAAGAAATTGCTTGTTGCTGCTCTGCTGGGCTTCTTGTTGATAAATGTGTGGCGCTGTATTGTCCGCAGTAACCAGTGGAGATCTGAAGAGCAACTTTTCAGAAGTGCTTTGTCTGTGTGTCCGCTAAATGCCAAAGTAAGATTTCTTCCTTGAATTGTTACCACAGTAATAATAGAGAATAGTCCAACCTACTATTACACTTCAGTTTTTTGCACTGTTGGGGATGTTTGTGGGTCTAATAGCCACTTGTGTCCCTTTCTCATCATTTAGGGCCAGGAATCTTTAATGTAAAACCCAGTGCACTGTTACTTTTGTGCTTCATATTTATGTGGTCTTAGTTCTGGGCTGGCTTGCAACCTGACTTCCTGACAACTCAGAGAAGCTGTATTTCTGAGATTCTCAGACAACTTTGTCAGTAGCAGATATATCCTGAAACTGAAACTGGTGCTGAGGATTTCTTTCAGTGTAGCAGTTTAGTGCCATGAATGAGCATAAGAGGATTACAGACAGTTCAAGATCCATATCATTTTTGCACGCATAATAGTTCTCTGGAAATCAGGTCAATCCCTGCTTTTGTGCCTCATTAAAAGAAATGGCAGGCTATAGAATAGAATAAAATTGTTAACAGTGCTTCATTCTTGCCTTGCATCAGAGTTGAATTACGTCCTGAACAAACTTTGCCTATCCTTCTCTTATTTCAGTTGCTTGAACAGAAGATGAGAAGAGCCAAATTAGCTTACAAAGGCAACTTAGTGTAAACAATAGTGGAGATGCCAATATCTGAAGCATAAGATGTTCCAAAAGGAAGACAGGGCTGTATGATATTGTTTTGGCTGCAATAAAGACCTGAAATTCCTTGTTAGAGATTGCCTACCATTGTCATAGATCTCTTTTTTCTGGGATTCTGTAGGGGTGGAATTGAGGTGTCACATAGTTATGGTAGTCAACAGTAATAATCATTGTGTGTCATCAAGTCGGTTCCAAATTATGATGACCATTCTCATATAAGACCCTTATAAGTATAGACCCTTCTCAGAGTTTTCTTGGGTTCTCTGTAGTTTGCCCATACAACCTGTAGTTCAGCACCTCCACAACATAATTTTATAAAGAGAAAATAGGGAGTTGTCATCTGCCCACTGATGTCATTTCATTTCCTCTAGTGACCTCACACTGCAGCTTTCTGTAGGTATTAAAAGCATGGAGGTTAAGATAGACCCTTGTGGGCACTACCATTCTAATGCCGTGGAACTGAGCAGGGGTCTCCCGATACTACTTTCCAAAAATAGCCCTGCAAATAAGACTGGAACCAATGTCTCCCTGTCCACAAAGGCATCCCTGCAGGTATTTGCAATTGGACAGTCATTCCTTATCATCATCCAAATCACAGAGAATTTCCTAAGAACTTATCTTGCAGTTGCTTCCTTCAAGGTGGCCAGGACCTTTTCTTCTCTCAGTGAGGCACTAATCTTCTCTAGACCCATCAGATCTTTGGCAAAATATTGAAAAGCTAAGATAAGCAACACTAGAGGATACAAGACTGGACCCATTGTAAAGTTCAGCAGCTGAATCAGTCCTACCACCTTTTAAAATCATGTTTAATTCTTAATTATTTAACCGTTTACTGATTTTATTTTACCTGTAGTATTGTCTTTCTGTCTGATTACATTGTGAACTGTCCAGAGTAACCTTGGCTAAATGGGCGATGGATGGATGGATGGATGGATGGATGGATGGATGGATGGATGGATGGAAGGATGGAAGGAAGGAAGGAAGGAAGGAAGGAAGGGAAACTCAGTTTCATTGCTGTATTTCTTCAGAGCCCACTTGTCATCTTTTGTTTATATTAGGGTTGAAAAAGGGTTTTTTTGTTTTGCATTGAAATGTGTTTGCCTTTTCACCTAGTGGGTAGGCAGAATTTCATTCACAATTCACTGATGGGGCTTTATCACATTTTTGTATAATGAAAATGTTATCACTAAGTCTGACATCTCCCATGTTCCCTCAGTGTTACTGGGTAAGGAAAAAGGTATCAAGGAGGGCCTGAACAAGCTAAGATGGAGCTGTGCTCACTCCTTGGGTGGACTTGAGTCACCGTGGGCTTTGATAACAGGGATTAAAACACTCAGGCACTTTAATTTCAAGCCATTCTTTATGGAGGATTGACACTTCACCTCCTGTTTAGAGAGACTGGCAGTCACCAAAGCAAACTCTGCATCAGAACAAGTCAACTGCTTTGCTCAGCCATAAATCTGCTTTACAGGTAAAAAATACTCTGTTATAAGAATGTGTGGATTAGAAGAAGTATAAGAGCAGTCACTGAATGACAAAAACAAATAATTGTGTTCTTTTTATTTTCAGGTTCATTATAATGTTGGCAAAAATTTGGCTGACAAGGGCAACCAAACAGCCGCAATCAACTATTACAGGGAGGCAGTAAGGTATTTGTTTGTTTGTTGTTCCTTAATAAATACTAGAAAGGGGATGAGGAATACTGGTTTATAGAGCCATAAAAATGGTATTTCAGTAGACTTGTGAAGTACACTACTTTAGCATCAAAGCATTTCTGTATAAGGAAAGCATGATTCTGTTAATAATTTAAGAATATAAAACAAGGATTTAAATAAATAAACAATGCCTGCTCTGATAATGTACACTACTTCTGAAAAAGAATTAACATCCTTACCACATCTCATGCCACAGTTATCGTCTCTGCTTTATAGTATTGTTCTATCTCCAGAACAAAACTACTGGATTAATATTCAGACTGCATCTTTCAATTTTCAGCACCTATTCTCATTTGGATTGAATTAAGACCACTTAACAGGGTGGAAATGGGTGTTCCCTGTTTCTTTTTATAAACATTTTTAATACAACTTGCATATTTTCCGAACCTCATCTTATGTTCTAAATTATTGAGAGATTTGCAGCCGGAGTAAGTGAACTGATGCTGTATGGGAATTTGGAGGAAGCCAACAAATGGGGTTGAATGGCTGACAATGGTGTATGTGAAAATTTGAATGACAGGGTTCTGATTTCCTATTAGTATGTTTAAAAAACCCCAGTAAAGATGTGCTCTTCAGCTAAAGGCAGTGCATTTAATGCAATGCTTTGCAACTACACTGGTACCAAAGCAAGCCATGAAGCCACATGAAGGCTGTTGCTTTGGGCATTTTGTGTGTGTGTGTGTGTGGGGTGTGTGCCATTTCCTAACTCTCTGTCTGCACTCTAGAATGGGATGATGGTGATGATTTAATACCTATGTTTCTGGTTGCCTTAAAATGTGTGAGGATGGCTCTGGCTGTTTTAAACATTGCAGAAGCACGGGTGAGAGGAAGGATAGGGAGAATTGTTAGCAATATTCTGCTCATTTAAAAAAAAACCTGAATAGACCTTCTTTCCAATGATAAATTATTATTTTTATCTTTTAAATCTCAGATTGAATCCTAAATATGTGCACGCCATGAACAACTTGGGAAATATCTTGAAAGAAAGGAATGAACTCCAGGAAGCTGAAGAGCTGCTGTTGTTAGCAGTACAAATACAGTATGTTCTAAGTACAACAATCCAATTATTGCTGTGCAGCTGTAACCTTGTGTTCTCTGAATCTTTCCCAGTCTGCTTTTGTTGGGGACAGAAGGAGCTTTGGTAGACATGGTATACCAGGAACTAAGTGGCAAAGTTCTTATCTGTTGCTTCTGCTGAACCGCTGAACAGTGGTCAGTAGTATCACCCATGGTATCATTCTTGTGTGGGCCCTGTTTACCATTAATTCTACATTTTCCTGACTGAGTGCTCCCATGGTGATGGGGAACGACTGCTTGGCCATTATCTCTTAAAAGAGTCTCGTGGCTCAGTAGTTAAAATGGGTATACTGCAGCCAAAAACTGTGCTCACAATGTCCCAGGTAGCCAGCTCAAGGCTGACTCGGCCTTCTATCCTTCTGAGGTCGGTAAAATGAGTACCCAGCTTGCTGGGAGGGGGGGCAAGGTGTAACCTGCATAATTAACTTGCAGACCACCCAGAGTGTGCTTGAAGCACTATGCGGCGGTATATAAGCACCACTCTTTGCTTTTGCTTTATCAGGTTCTTCAGGCCTCTGTTTGTCCCTTTTGCTTTTAAACATTTCCCGTCATAACAAAACTGTTGCTTCACATTAACGCCTAACTTTTAATTTGCTGCGTTGTGATGCTTTTAAATTTTACATTATAAGTTGCACTTAATAATAATGAAATACAACCCTTTTCAGGGATTCCTAGATATAGAGTATTCAAACGTGGTTTACTCTTCTCTTCTTCTGGGGCGTTCTGGGATTGTACGGGTTGACCAGGCTGGCTCTTCTCCTGAGAGACGCAGTGGGGAATTAAACACCCAGCCTCTGACTCTGCTGTCAGAGAACTAATTCATTGAGCTATCCAGCTAGTTTAAGTTGCACGTGGAAATAATCAGGAAAGACTAGCTGCCAAAGACTTTGGTGCTCCGTATGCCAAATACTGTATTTCCAATTTTTTTGCCTAGGCCTGATTTCGCAGCAGCATGGATGAATCTAGGAATAGTACAAAATAGCTTAAGAAGATATGAAGAAGCAGAGAAAAGCTATTGGACAGCAATTAGACACCGGAAAAAATACCCAGATTGTTACTATAATTTAGGACGTTTGGTAAGTGTGCTTAATTGTATTTATGGAAATATCCCAAGAGACTAAGATGAAATAGATTTTGAATGAGGTTTTTGTGGCAGACATGAGCACACTTACTAGGAGGTGCCCTGTTGAACTTGGTAGAAATTGCTTTTCAGCAAAGATGCTTAGAATGGGCCTGTCCTGCCTTTTTGCCCATAGAAATTACAGTCCTTTACCTGGCATCAGACATGTATAAGATTGTGAACTAATAGGCATTAAAAAGGAGTGTGGAATGAGGACTGCTTTAAGCCTTTGTACATGCTCTAGTATTCTGTCATTTCCCACAATGCCTTGGGTCAAATTCTGCATCTTTTAGGCACTCTATTTGTTCCCTGAAAAACAGTAAGAGGGACAAATATTGGGGCTCTGTTGCTCCTGTCATAATAGTAGGGAGTGAATGCATAGGAGTAGGTAGGTGCACTTTATTATTGTCATAGACTCTGCACATGTACTGTTATATGTCTGGCTCTCCTTCAGATAACTGGAAGCTAGGGAAAGTATAATCATCCCAGTTTTGCGAAGAGAACCTCATGTACCTGAAGCCACGCGCATACAGACTTCGTACAGACACTTAGCTGAATGTGCCGCAGCAGGCTGCAACTTTGCACCACATTTCATTTCCCTCTGGTGTGAAATGACAATACCTGAGACATACATTGAATATTAATTAATTACTAAATAAAACTAATTACTATTTTATTTAGAGACAGTCTGTGAAAATCTTTGTGCATAAAATAAACACAGTCTTCTGCCAAGCTTGTCAGCTAAAAGGCCTTGGGAAGGGAGGGAGAGAAAATAGTATTTTGATAATGCTATATGGAAGTTAAGGGACGTGGTGGCGCTGCGGGTTAAACCGCAGAAGCCTCTGTGCTGCAAGATCAGAAGAGCTGCTGTCGTAAGATCGAATCCACGCAACGGAGTGAGCCCCTGTCGCTTGTCCCAGCTCCCGCCAACCTACCAGTTTGAAAGCATGCAAAATGCAAAAAAAAAGTGAGTAGATAAATAGGTACCACCACAGTGGGAAGGTAACGACGTTCCATGTCAAGTCGCGCTGGCCACGTGACCACGGAAGATTGTCTGCAGACAAACACTAGCTCTATGGGTTGGAAACGGAGATGAGCACCGCCCCCTAGAGTCAGACACGAGTGGACAAATTGTCAAGGGGAATCTTTACCTTTACCTATAAAGGAGGTGACATTGCTTACTGTTTAGGAGGTGAGATAGCAGACATTAAAATCTCATTGGAATCCCTGTTGTTGCGGCTCCTGCTGGAAAATAGGCTGTTTAACTACCTAGCAGGTGCGGATCTCGTTGTCCTTTTATAGTTGTGCTTGTTGTCACACTGCCCAAGGCACGTTTTGCATTGTGCTTCTTTATTCATGTTATTTTTTAAAGAGAATATTTATATCCCATCTTTCTAATTCAAAACTCAGCTACTCACGATTGCTAATATGTGAAATGACACAAAAAACAATCAGAAAAACTAATAAGTGAGCAGCTGTTACAATAAGAACAGAACTAAAAAAGAAGAAAACCAACGAAAGTGACCACCAAAATAATTGTGGCAGCATGTGGGGAGGTTCAGGGGAACCCAAAAACTTACTTGATTTCATAGATTACAGTATACTGCCTACAGTCGTGTTGTTTGTGTAAGGTTTGTACGACTTGCTGAGGCTAGTTGTTGAGGTGTTAAGGTGTATCTTAGCTACACAGTCAGGCACAATGTTAATTAGCTGCAATTAGCCACAGCATGTTACACAGACTTTACCCAATCACCAGGAGGCCGGCTTGTACTACTTGGTCTTGAAATTCTGACTAAGGTGTGACTTTCCCACGTGCATTGCTTGATTCCAGTTATCAAGCCCATATTTGTCTTTCATAAGTGGAACTTAAACATCTGTTCTAATTCTGTTGAAAAACACTGTATTGGAAATGCATAAAAGTTCTGCCTGTGCTCTGTATGATATATAATATATAAAATATTTAGATGCTAATTGCTGTAGATTAAGTAATCTCCATATTCATTCTCTGTTGCATGCCAAGTATGCAGCATAATGTCTATGGAGATTTCTTAACTTGTGCCACCTCACTTTCAAGTTATGCCATTTGTGTAACAGCACAACAGGATTTCAGCCATTATCTTTGCAGATTTATACGTATATGCTTAAAGAAATAAGAACAGATACATAATGTCTATGGAGATTTCTTAACTTGTGTCACCTCACTTTCAAGTTATGCCATTTGAGTAACAGCACAACAGGATTTCAGCAATTATCTTTGCATATTTATATATGCTTAAAGAAATAAGAACAGATATGGGTCTCAATTAAGGGGCTAATTAATTCACAACTAACTTTACTTGGTCTCATATTGTTGACCCTTTTGCTTTCAGTATGCTGATTTAAATCGTCACGTAGATGCATTGAACGCCTGGAGAAATGCCACTGTTTTGAAACCACAACACAGTCTGGCTTGGAACAACATGATTATATTACTTGATAATACAGGTACAAAATTATACAGCAGTGTTTAAGCAAGTCATTTATTTATGCACTCTCTCTCTCTCTCTCTCTCTCTCTCTCTCTCTGTGTATGTGTGTGTGTGTGTGTGTGTGTTTGAGAGAAGACTAGTGTGCTCCTTACATGGGGACCTATTTCAGAACCCTGTGCGGCTAGCTAGCTGTACATGAAAACCAACACTTCAGAGCAGCACCTTCACCATTACTGGGAATAACACAACAAACTGCCTTTGAAATTCCCTGGATTATCTGCTCTTTGAGAAACAGGGCACCGAATTTGCCTAAAATATGACTTGGAGGCCAAATGTGTCTTTTGGAGGATGATTCAAACCCATATATTAGTTAGTCCTATGTATTGAAAGAAAAACTTGCAGGTTTTAAAATCAGTCCTGAACTCGTAATTCAGCATTTGGGGGTGGGTGGGGAAACCATAGATGAGTTTTTTTTAAAAAGTAATAAAATGATCATTGCCTGCTCTCTGTAGTTTGGTCTGGCTGTGGTTTCACCAATCTGTGCATGGGGACTTTCCTGCCCATAGCCGTTTGTCCTGCCATTGAGATACAACGGAAAAATGCACACATACTATGTTCAGTGTATAAAGAACATACCAGAGTTTGGGACCCACAAGCTGTGATGAGGACCTTACCCATTAGCAAGCTTACTGTCTTCAGAGCTACTATCTTTTAAAGAAGAAACCTACACTCAAATGGCAGCCTGACATTCAGTGGAGGGCTTAATGAGCTCCTCTTTTAATCCTATAACATTCAACATCATTCTTCTAGTTGGTTTGTTACTCACACTAAATTCTCATGCAATTAGCATCATTTTTTAGTTACCAGATACTTCTGTCTGCTAGTGCTCAGTCTGCATTTTCCTGAGACAAAGCCAAGAGTGCCCTGAAGAACTTCTAGGTGCTTTAATTTCCTGCTCAGTCTGAAGTCGAAATAAATGGTTTTTTAAAAAATTGCTTCAGTGTATACCTTAACCACAGTAGAATAATACCATTATTTCATGTATTTCAGAACAATATTTAGTAGCTGAATTTGTCAGTTGGTAACTTTTCATTCCAAATAGCTGGTGTGAGTAAATAAAGACATTGCTTTCATCTTTTGCAAAGGTCACCTTTTGCTATTTGCATGTCCAATGTATTAGTTGCTCCAGTTTCCTTTGTGGGAAAAATTAAAAGTTTGCTCTTGTTACAATTGTTCTTCACCTCCTTTTCCTCTCTTTTCATATGTCTTTTAGGTAACTTGGCACAAGCAGAAGCTGTCGGAAGAGAGGCTTTGGAATTAATACCTAACGATCACTCTCTCATGTTTTCACTGGCAAATGTGTTGGGGAAATCACAGAAATATAAGGTACAAAGTGTTTCAGATCACAATTTTGAAATAAAATAATTTTACCACATTTATCTTTTCATTATTCATGGATTAAAGAAATCCTAAAAATGTGATTCGTCTTATAAAAATGGTTCGTGATTTGCACAAGGCAAATTTTTAGAACAAGCATTATCTTAACTCTTCTGGAGCTTATGAGCCAGTCAGGTCAACTAATAAAAATTGGAACCACGGATAAAAATACAGTTATTTATTTATTTTGTTTGTTTTTGTTTGTTTGTTGTTTCTAGTAGTGTTGCTACTCTCTGGGGGGTTCCCAATATACAGTACAGTCATAAAAACGCTATATGCTGTATTTTTCTGTGTATAAAATGACACTTTTTCCTTAAATACCGTATTTTTTGCTCCATAAGACACACCGGACCTTAAGACGCACATAATTTTTAGAGGAGGAAAACAGGGAAAATATATTCTGAACCAAATAGTGTAATAAAATATTTAATAAACTATAACAGAATAACATTTGAACCATGTAAAGTGAACAGCAGTCAACAGTGGCATTAAGAACCATTACCACTGTCATTAACAAATGGAGAGACTTAAAGCTTTGTGTACTCTAGGTTATGTACCATACATTTGTGTACCATAAATTTAATTCAAGTAAATATAGACCATTATCAGCCAGTGATAAGACCTATACCAAGCTACCTATATTTTACATTTCCTTTCATCCACCTCCTCCCCATGCTTATAGAAATGTCTCAATGACAGATGAGATTGTTGTGCAACTCTGCCCAGCTACAGCTCAAGCCTATATTAAGTTAGAAATGGTTTGTCTGATTTGGCACTGCATTGAGAGGTCC